GTCCATGACCTCGTAGCAATTCATTTGATGTGCATTGGCACAAGAAGCTTGTGACCTGGTTAAATGCAGTGTGTCCTGGAGCTGAGCGTATGAACTAAATATACCGTGGCTCTGTATTTTACTACAGCGTGACGGGATACGACAGCTAATAGGAGCCAGAACTATTGGCTCTTTTGAGCAAAGCAGTTCTCTGAAATTCCAGATTTTCTGCAATACTCTAATCATCATAATAATATGGTTAACCCAAACGAAACAACATGTAATCAACAGAAAGGGCTAATATTTCAAATCCTTTTCTTCTTTGGTTTTCACCCACATAAGAACTCAATCAAGTAATAGCAAAAGCCTTATGAAAACAGTCCACAGTGACAAGCGGATGTAAAGCGTGTCGTTTCTATGTACACTACAGTACCTTTAGAATTTCATGAAAGAGCTTCTTATCTTAATAGAAAGGACACTCGAGCTCAAAAGAAAAATGAGAGACGCACCCACTCTTGAGTAAATCTTGAGCTTTCTTAGGCACACAATGTTAAAAAAAAAACACAAGGGTGTATGCAATTTCTGATCTTCACCTGTTAGTACACTGCGGTCCTGTACGTTTCCAGGCCTGGGCGACAGTAACTGTGCATGACCCTGAAGCAGGTTCCATGTTCCAGTCTCAAATTCCCTAAACGTGCCCATCTGGGTTCCATTCAAAAGTGCAAGATTAAGACATTTTGAAAGGAACCGAAGATGAAACGCTCTGATTTACAAGAAAAACCCTTCTCCTTGTGTGTTATTACCTTTAATACCCAATTAACCAGGCATTGTGCCGCATGTTCTCAGTGCTTCTTACTTCTAAACCCAAAATAAACTAAATTCCACAAAGTAACTGGACACTAACCTAGACATCAACCATTTCCTGTATGTTTAAGTGCCCGAAGAGTGATTTCTACATTTTATATAGCAAATTTATACAGTAAATAAATCATTACTGCAACAATGAAAACATAAAATATAGTTTGACAATCAGCAGTTTTCCAACCCACTCAGTCCTGCATAACATACATTCAGCATGAATGTTCACTATAGGGCTATAGAGAGACATTTAGCATTCGAGAAAGAACGAGGCAGGCGTCTATGTGAAGAGCTTTTGTTCTGAGAACAGCTCCAGCAGTGTTACTGTATAACTCTTCAGAACTGGACGTCACTTCCAGGAATGTTTCCACCAAACATCAATTTTATCATTGTCCATAGTTCCCACTCTCTGGAGAACTCCAAACTGCCTGAATAGACTACTGACAATCAGAGCACAATAGACATCGATGACTTTTATACATGGATTTGTACTTTATAAAAAGTGAACTCACTTCACATTTTTAAGCATGGAATATTCTGGTGATGATAGATGATCACGGTTTCCAGTGGTCACATGGGTTAAAAGTCATTCTTACAGGAAGAACTAAAACTGGATTCAATATGAGGCAGTAGGTGTCATTAACTTATTCAACAAAGAATAAAGCACAGTGTTTCATTCAAAGGAAATGCTTATCTTTAATGTATATCTGAAGTTGATCAATTCTTGACTCTAAACTCTCTGAATTGTTCTCTAAACTCAAGACTTTGTGTAGATTTCTTGTTAATCTCCTTTAAAGCAAAAAGATTTCTTATGAAAGACTCCTTTCAGAGTGTGCTGAAAACACATACTTCAATGACAACCTCAGATGTAACATAAACTAAAGCACATGACGCACCAGTGCGGCGCTATATTGAATATTCACAACACATTGAGAATATCACACTGGTTTTGATGTGATGACTTGTGTTGTGACTCACAGTGAGAGAAAAATAAGTAAAAAATGATTCATTTCTGTAAATCAGTTCAAACTGTCAATTTTAATGAATCAATTCAAAAAGCGATTTATTTCCATCATAACTCAAAAAAGTTCCCGCAGAGCATTTTTCATGCATTATATAGTATGTTTTATTAAAACTATTTTTGGATAAATATTGCATATTGTTCTTAACTAAGCATTGTTAAAATGCTGCATATAAATAAAATGATTAAATGTCTTTCTTGTGTTTTTGTTTCATGCAACTGACTGTGGAATCATTCATAAAATCACACTTTTAAAGCAATTTGCAATTGCATACTCAATTAAAGGGTGAAAAACACTGAGGTATATTCTTTATACCTTGATATTTTCTAACTGTGCTTACCCAGCACTTGTTGGCCCCAGACCTGTTTACGGTGACCAATAAATTAGCTCTGATAACCTCTGGCCTCAAGTCAAGCACACCTGACAGCCAGAACAAAAGCGATTTTTAACAAGACGTGGCCTACACCTAGACAGATTCCAGAAAATCAGGAATGTTTGGGTGCTGTTTGTTAAAGCAATTTAAACATGATTTTTCAAAACAATCATACACACATGGCTTCTGATAAATAACAACTGTTTTGTCACCATGGTTTCATATGCAATTAAATGTTAACAACACTGTAGTATGCACTGTAGAAAATAAACAAGATAATAAAGATAAGAACTTATTTATCAAGCTTACTGCCTCCAGAAAGCAAAAATCACAGAATCAGAATGAGCCTACATCATATGACTGCAGCAGCCTCACACACACACACACACATTGTTGAGCTTTTCCACAGCTGACTGTTAGCTTATGATACCCAACAGCTGATAGACACTCTGCTGCTCTGCTTGAGCTACAAATTGCCAAAAACAACACATCAGCTTCATCTGAATGCTCAACATTCAGTCAGTGGGGGAAATTTTTTATTTCTGTGCACAAGTGCATTTGTATATTTCCTTCAGAAATGCATGTAGCAGAGGTTGACTGGCAGGATGATGCTGAGACTAAAACAAAAGGCGCCCAGTGTATCATCACCTTAAGTGCATGAGAGGGAGATGCATTTCGAGCGGTCAGGATGGATGGGTCACAACAGACTGATGTAAGCTACCAATCAAATCAGAATTACACAATGGGCTTATATTACAAACATCTAATACAATCACCTGAACACACAAACAGAACAATATTTCTACACTATCTGTCAGACAGATAGACAGACAGATAGATAGAAATAAAAGGGTTTGTCTTTTAATAAACTGTAACGAGTTAATCCAATTTTTCATACCGGGTCAGCAAATCTGCTACCAAGTAAACGGTTTCTATTCAGTAAACAATGAAACAATGTATGAATTATTGTAAGTATGAATCACGCTGATGTTCTGACACCGTTAACCGTCTCGCTGCCGCTCCTTTTCTAATCTTCGATTCATTCTTTACCTTTATATTTCTCAAGCACGTCCTCGTACGCCTGGAGGTACTCCAATTCGTCGGCGAGCGTATACGGAGCCGGTCCGTAGCGGGCCATTGGCGGGGCGGTCGAGGCTGGTCATTTACTAAACGCGCCAGCGAACTGAAGCCCTGCCCGAGTGCCTGACTGACCGGCGACGCCCCTGCTTGCCTCCCCTCCCAGATCCGCCAACCGGCCAATGAGCGGGGCTTCCTCTGCCGCTTCAGCCGTAAATCTCGGCCGTGTGCCGGTGAAGACGGGCTGTGGTTATCAGTGACTGTCGTTCACCGTACCAGCAAACCCCAATAAGGTTCTTGAAAATAATACCAGTTTTCACAACATGACGCTTTGCGTGCTTAGTTTAGTGCTGCTACTCTGTTCATGTGTTCACGTGGGGTCAGCATTCGTCTGGAATGCTAGATATATCAAATGTCCGACTACATAAAGGGGAGAATGTGTCATGCACAGTCATCCTCTATTTTAGAGGCTCAGGCTGGTGGTCACTGGCTGCCGTGTGTCCGTGACACAAGCGAGGCGCGCGTGCTCTCCAAGGTCCTAAAACCGGAAGATTCGCGTCTCCAACGGGAACATGATGGCGCTGCGCTCGACCAACTCAACTCTCATTAACAGAACAACACCTTCTCAAGCAGATGCCGATCAATCTCAGCTTTTATAATACTAAACACCATGCAGCTTTGCCTTATATTAATTTCTTTTGAATTTTTTTTAAGTTGCATTGCTATATTTGTAGGATAAAGCCTGTAGAATGTGTTTATATTATTATTATTATTCTATAAAACCATTAAAAATATATATTTATCATAGAAATGGATGTCATGCCACTGCCAAATGATGAACAGAGGCTGTTTGTGCACTCAGAAAAAAAAGGTACAAAATCTGTCAGTGGGCCGGTACCCTTTCAAAAGGTACTAATAGGCCTATGTACCATTTTATACTTATACTTTATGTATTAATATGTAGCTTTAAGATACTAATATGCATCTTTTACAGGTAAATATGGTACAAAAGTGTACCTTTTGAAATGGTTCTGCCCCAGTGACAGCTTTTGTACCTTTTTTTCTGAGTGTGTATATAGGCTATTAGGATAGATAGATAGATAGATAGAATGAAATTATGTGTGTGTGTATATATATATATTATGACATATTATTATGGCATGTAATATTGCCATCTGAATCTCATGTTGAATATGTAATAATGTTACAGAATCCTAAGAAGGAATGTCCTCTCATTCCAGAGCAGGACAACATGCACATTACAGATTGCTGATTCATCTTTCAGCCTTGAGCTTTTAAAAACAACACTGACTTCCAGCTACCAAAACAGTTTCACAGTGCATCCGAAGAAACTTTAAGCTTATTCTTTTTCTTATTATGATCACAATGATGATGATGACCTGCAGATTTTACATGTAAGGATCAGGAGACATTTAAAGCACGTGATCAGGACCACCCTTATAGTCAACTCAAGTCCCGATGCCTTTTTTAAAACTTAACCATTTCTTAAAACCCAAACTACCCCAAAGTTGATTCGTCGTCGTTTATTATTTATCCAACTCTGTATTTACACGTGTAGTTCACTGACTGCTACTTGATCAAATAGCAACAGGCCTCGTCGTTTTCTCTGTAAGAGCCTAATGAATGGATGTGCATGGCTGCAGTGAGACTGGGAGATTTTGGGTTCCTACCTGCGATTCTGAGCACCGCTCTCTCGGCAGGATCCAGCACGGATCCTCCCTGGATCTTCCGCTTCGAGCGCTCGTGTCTGGGTAAATTCCACGGTAACGTGTCCCCCGGAGCCGGCGACACCGACCCAGATTTCACACTGTACTCTTCATCATCGGAGAAATCTGCCGATGAAGACATAGAACAGCGCAGGGACGCGTTCCCAGACCCGGAGCTCTGTGTGAAGAGACAATAGAAAGGCAATGAATCGCAAATTCAGCACAGGAGCGCAAATAAAAACAGCGCTGCGAGCGATCTCACCATCACTGCGCGCACAACAGATCGAGATTAAAAGACACATCTGCTCTTTGCAACTAAGACTCAAATGATCAGAGGTCGACAATAAAACAAAACCCCCATCAGGATGAATCGCATGTGGCTCCCCCGCCAGGACAAGGCAGCACTCACCGCTGTGTACATCTCTAAAGGATGCGCAGATATCCTACTTCCACTTGTCATTTACATTCGGCGATGTCATTTTGGATAGAACCACACCCTTGTGGCGGTTATTCCGTCGCGTGTCGCCCGGTTTGATCCAAAGCATTAAACGGTGCGAAATCCCCCAGAGAGAGAGAGAGAGAGAGAGAGAGCGAGAGAGAGCAGCATACAAACAAACGGCGTCACCATCCACTGACAGGCGCAGACTAGAACCAGGGACAGGAGGCAGGACCCTTCGGTGAGCGGAATCTCTGCGCGTATGCTGTGGTGCTACAGCGCCATCCCTGGAGCGCGATCACTGCTGCTGCCTTCACCCTCAGCGCATCCTCACGAGTTCAGTGGCGTACTGCTCTTTCACTTTCTCAACTGCTGTTTCCAACCAGTTTGAACAAAATCACCAGTGACCAGTAATAAATATCTTTCAAGAATGCCTTATATAGCAAAAAAAAAAAAAAAAAGTCTGTCATTATTTAGGCTACTAAGCCCCATGTCAATAGGAATCTCAAGATAGTTGTCCTGTGGAACACAAAAGAAGAAATTCTGAAGCAATTTAAAATTCTCCCTTTAGAATCCCTTTAATTCCTTTAATGATAATTCCCAAAAATGTATTTATGCAGCAAAACTTCAATATATTGGTGTCCTGAAACAATATATTCTGAGACCAGGACGAGTTGTTTTATACACTCTTAAAAAGAAAGTTTTCAAAAGGGAGTTTTCACAGTGGTGATGGCCTAGAACAGGGCTGTCCAAACTCGGTCCTGGAGAGCCGGTGTCCTGCAGAGTTTAGCTCCAACCCTAATTAAACACACCTGAACCAGCTAATCAAGCTC